TGTAGTGTGCATAAACACAGCCAGTGTCACAAATCAGCTGTGATGACTAGGATTCAGGAGCCAGAGCCTGTTAATGTGCAACTTTCACATGAGCTTGAAAGACGGCAGCAACAAGCAAGAAGAAATCTGATGAAGATTGTTGAGGGTGTGAGGTACTTGGTGCGGCAAGGTCTGGCTTTTTGAGGCGATCAGAAGGAGAGTGGGAATTTAAGCCAGCTTCTAAAGTACAAGGCAACGGGCGATGCAGAGCTGACCTCCTGGCTAAAAGGTCCCCTCGATTTCACCAGTCCGGAATTGCAGAACGAACTGTTGAAGGTGATGGCCAATACAATCATCAAAGAAATTGTGTCGGAAATAACATAAATGCCAGTGGTCCAGTTCGCAATTATCATTGATGGCACCCAAGATATATCAGGAGTTGAGCAGGAGTCAATATGTGTGCGCTCTGTAGATGCAGATCTACAACCAAAGGAAGAATTCCTGGCCAAGTGTCATCAACAACAGGGCAAAATATAACCAAGATGGCATGTGATGTGATGACGCGCCTACAGCTTCCTCTGTCTCAACTCCGAGGACAAACTTATGATGGTGCCGCAAACATGGCTGGACGATTGCAGGGAGTACAAGCCATTTTAAGGAAAGAACAACCGCTGGCTGTGTATTGTCACTGTGGTCCCCACTGCGTGAACTTAATTACGTAGGCTGCCTGTGGAGCCTCTCCACTAGTAAGAGATGCAATGGGTCTGGTCCATGAATTGGGGGGCTTCTTTAATCAATCTGGCAAGTTCAAGTTGATTTTCCAGAATATCGCAAAATCAGAGCATGGTTCAACTTTCACCTCATTGAAGCCTCTCTGTCCCACCAGGTGGACTGTACGTACCCCTGCCATCCGCTCAGTTCTCAAGCAGTATGAGTCAGTGCTGATGGCCCTTGAAGAAATGGCATCATGCAGCTCACCTGAAACTTCAGCCAAGGCCAATGGTCTTCATGGAACATTTCTTAAAGGGAACACTGTGCTCGGCCTTTTAATGGCTGAAGACCTGATGGGGGATTTGGAGTGCCTGAACACCTCCCTGCAGCTTAGGAAACAGACCGTTTCAGGCATGTTGGAGGCTGTAGACCATGTCAAAACAAGCATGCAGGTCAAACGAACGGAGGAGCATTTTGATGTATTGTTCTCGAAAGCAACTGCTGTGGCAACAAAGTTGGACCTACAACCAATTCAGATCCCTCATGTCCGCAAACCTACAAAGCGTTACACCGGTCAGGCTGCAGCCCATATCCATCCCGATGCCCAGCCCTTGCACAGAGTCCAATTCTACAATGCCTTGGACACAGTGAATACTCAATTCATAGAGAGGATTGAACAAGCTGGATTCCACAAGCTGCAGCAGCTTGAAAATATGCTGCTACATGGAGACATGGACAAGGTGGTAGAAGAGTATCCTGAATTTGAATTCAAGACTACTGCAGGTGCAGCTGGCCATGTTTGGGGCTAATTACACCTATGAAACAAGCTCAGATGTTGCTAGCATTATTCGGGAAATGGTGCCAGAGGTGAGAGGTCTCTTCGGTCAGGTGGAAGCTTTAGTAAGGCTTCTGTTGATCGTCCCTGCCTCTTCTGCAGAGGCTGAGAGGAGTTTTAGTGCCCTGAGGAGGCTTAAGACATGGCTTAGATCATCGATGAGTCAAACGAGGCTGAATAATGTGGCCATATGTCATGTGCACCAGAAGAAACTGGACAGACTGGACCTTGAAGGAATATGCCAGTCTTTTATCAGTGCCAACGATAAGCGCAAAAAGGCTTTTGGGTCCTTTACTTGAGGGTTGGGCTTTTTGGGCGGGTGTCTGGGAGGAAGTTGGGGGTCTTTTTGATTTTGAATGAGCGGCAAGCAGCTAGTGCGAGTCGTGGCTGTAAAACAAAAGGGCAATAAAGTGTTCCTGTTTCTACTGAAATTGCGTGGCACAGACCTTTCTATGGATTTAAATGCTTTAATGTGATTATGGTTATAGTTGTAGCTACTTTATTCATCCCTAATCTCTGCCATTACAAACAACAAAACAAGAAAAGCTAAACTAGATAAAATAGGGCGATGTAATACAATGCACAATTAGACATTATGGTAAAACATTTTAACCAGTTAAGCCCCAAGCCTGTTTTTCAGGTCTCAGGTTTGAAAATGACATTCCCAGAACAATTGACTATATCTTCACTTCTAAAAATGGTTAAATGAATAATCTTTTTTCTCAAAGCAATGATAAACCTGTGAGTTGGATGTAGAAAAAGTCAGAATCAATATAGATGTTTTTAAAGTAAATTCAAATTGAACATAGTAAAAAAATGTAAATGATAGTGTCCGTGCCAAAAATAAACCATTACTTATAGTGAAAACCACCCTTGAATGATGGGATAGTAGACTAAAAGCTTTAGGAATCCAAACTATAACATATAATAAGTACCCTGTATCAAGATTGATGCAAAACAAGTATTTCCAAGGCACACCTTTATATGATCATAATAGTTATACAAAATAAGAGAATAACAGAATAACAGGTATGAAATCATTCCAACTCATACTACAGTTTAAAAAGGGAGTGATTTGTAAAATATGCATAAAGAAAAAGTAAATCTGTTCAGTTCTGTTTCACATGGGTGTTGTTGAGATGTATCCATAGATCTCTTCATGTTGCTCTCAAAGTGCACCAGATTGATGTTTTTAACTTCAACATTTAAAAAAAAAACTTCCCGGGGGAGCATGCCCCCGGACCCCCCTAGAGGAGGTGAGGCCCGCCCACACCCCCCATCAAATTGTCCCACCCACATTGAGGATGCTTCCTACACCCATGACTGAGACACAGTTTCGTGACTATTGTTGTGTTTTGCCCCCACATGGGGGTTTAACAGGTTTTCAAGTATCCAATGTGTTAGTGATTTGTTATGTATTTTCCTTTACAATGGCAAGAAATTTGTATTCAAATTTTTATTTAATTTTTGGTCCCCCCAATGTTGACTCCATGAATACGGCCCTGCACATACTGAGGACTCTTTAAAGTAGAGACACTACATACTGATATACACCTGAACATCAGCAGGAGAGGACTCTTTAAAGTAGAGACACTACATACTGATATACACCTGAACATCAGCAGGAGAGGACTCTTTAAAGTAGAGACACTACATACTGATATACACCTGAACATCAGCAGGAGAGGACTCTTTAAAGTAGAGACACTACATACTGATATACACATGAACATCAGCAGGAGAGGACTCTTTAAAGTAGAGACACTACATACTGATATACACATGAACATCAGCAGGAGAGGACTCTTTAAAGTAGAGACACTACATACTGATATACACCTGAACATCAGCAGGAGGGGACTCTTTAAAGTAGAGACACTACATAACATAAAAACATATTTCTCGATCATGATACCTCACACAGTATATTAATATCATTGTGATTCCTATGTTATTTATGTGTCTGTGTATGTGTTGAGGTGGGGTTCCCTGCCGGATTTAACCTAACGAGCATTTAGCTGCTGCTTCTCCTGCAGCAGCAGTTGGGCCGAGTCAAAACTATTAGGCGCATTCACACCGCAGTACTTTTCCCACAAAGGTTCATGAGAACTTAGTTCATGAGAACTCTTTTGTTGCGTTCACACCAAAAAGAGCCGGTACTAAAATTAGTTCATGAGAACCTTTGTAGGCTACCCCCTTTTCAGTCCCTGCTAGAGAGCAGGGACTTTCGTGGGAGAAAAAGGTTCCTATGTCTGATTGGCTGGGCGGATTGCAAACCACGCCCCGTAAAACTCCCAAAAAGTTTTGTGAAGCCGCCATTTTATTATCCTCGCATTAGCATTATTATCATTAGCATTAGCCCAGCGCAGAAACGCAGAGAGACTAATTTATGGCAACACAAAATAAAACATGGGAGCGGTGGAGATGAGGAGGGCGTTCTGGCGACTTACTCGGAAGGCTTCAGTAGAAGCTGCTGGGAGTCCCAGAAGCTTCTACTGAAGCCTTCCCCAACTCCGGGGACTTCCGGCCGGGGACTTTGGGCGGCAGTATACGCCGTGAAGTGGTTTGCGGCCTGCCAGTAAACCCAAAGCAGAAGAAGAAGAAGTGACGTCAGCGGCTTCATTTGCCTAATCCTCCCCCAGGGATTTATTCCGGTGTGAACGCAATCTGTATTTAGTTCATGAGAACTAAAGAGTTCTCATGAACTAAGTTCTCATGAACCTTTGTGGGAAAAGTACTGCGGTGTGAATGCGCCTATAGTGTGCTACACTGCAGTATACAAAGTCATTAAAACTAGCTGGATCTTTACCAGCTTTGATAACACTTTTATGATCAATCATAAAACATATCATATATATTATTCTCAAATTGACCAATCTGCACAATGACTACTTTTACATTTGATACTTTAAGTATATTTTGATGGTAATACTTTTCTACTTTTACTTGAGTAACATGTTGAATGCAGGTAACAGAGTATTCCTACACTCTGGTACTTCTACTTTTACTCAAGTACAAGATCCGAGTACTTCTACTTTTACTCAAGTACAATATCTGAGTACTTCTACTTTTACTCAAGTACAAGACCTGAGTACTTCTATTTTCATAAATATAATCAATCAGACTTCAGTTCCACCTGGAGTAAATTCACAAGCTACCCTACAGTATACAAAGTCATTCAAACTAGCTTTACCTTTACCAGCTTTGATAACACTTTAATGATCAATCATTCTATCAAAACCTATATAATGGAAAACAAATGTATGATCACAAACAAAAACATTTTTCCAACGTTTAAAATCCACCATACCAGTCCCATATTTATATATTATTATTATTATTATTATATATATTATTATTGTTGTAATTCATATTTATTTTAATACCGTTTTTCACCACAGGGAGGCAGTGAATTTATTTTTAAAAGGAAAAACTAAACTCTCATGATGTATTGTCGTGGTCCGTTTCTAGCTTCCGGTCATATGAAGCTAGACGTTGCTAACAGATGTTGACACAGATTTTATACCTAATGTGTTTAAGAGACTTTTAAAACACATACAAATACTTAGTTTATCCTTGGAGGGTGATTTATCCGTTACACCGTGTTTTTGTTGCCTCCCGTTCTTTGTTCGGAGCTTTTTATACCACGTGGCTGATCGGTAAACATAAGTAAAGGCATTGAAGGGAGATTAGTGTGTTTAACGGCAGTGTTTTATCAAGGAGAAGAAAGACTGAAGAACCAGGACGAAGAGGAGAGAGAGAGGTAACATCTGTGTGTGTGTGTGTGTGTGTGTGTGTGTGTGTGTGTGTGTGTGTGTGTGTGTGTGTGTGTGTGTGTGTGTGTGTGTGTGTGTGTGTGTGTGTGTGTGTGTGTGTGTGTGTGTGTGTGTGTGTGTGTGTGTGTGTGTGTGTGTGTGTGTGTGTGTGTGTGTGTGTGTGTGTGTGTGTGTGTGTGTGTGTGTGTGTGTGTGTGGTGTGTGTGTGTGTGTGTGTGTGTGTGTGTGTGTGTGTGTGTGTGTGTGTGTGTGTGTGTGTGTTGCACTGCAGGGTAGCTTGTAAATAAAGTCTGATTTAAGAGTTGATTATATTTCACATCATTCATCCACATCTGTAAAGTAACTAAATGTATTCAATAGTGGACTAAAAGTACACCATTTACCTCTGAATTGTAGTGGAGTAAAAGTACAAAGTAGCATTACATGGAAATAGTGTTGACAGACCTGCTGTTCAAGTGGCAGTGACAGACCTCACTTTTACCTCACCTACCTCTATTAAGCTTACCATTGATAACAAATGCTAAATTGGCTATAATTTGGTTTGATGGAAAGGATGTATGTCTCAATAAAGTCTTTTCAGACATGTGCAACTAGACAGAACATCCTGAACTCTTAACCTATGCACATTATGCATTTTAGAAGGTGCAAGCAAAGCATAAAAGTTCCAACCACAATTCTAGGAAGGCGTTGTGGTTTTTGACACCTTGACAACGGTTACAACTATTGAGGACAACAATGCACACAGGATGAGAGCGAACTGTGTACATACTTGATGATTTTAGGTCCAACATCCAGGAGCAACACATCTTAGAGACTGAAAAGGAATCTAACTTCGATACAACAATTTGTAATACCTAGTCCGTCTCCGATACCGAACTCCGGTGCTGATAAGGCTCCGGTGAATGGCCGTCCAATCTTTTTAGGACTTCAAAACCCCCCAGAATCAACACGCAAGATCAACATAATCTGCTTAGGGGGGAGTTTACAACGTGGCCTCTAACACCACGCTGCCCGTCGTATCCCTATTTTTGGCACTCTGGCCTCGGATGTCTGACCGCTTTAGGATAGCAAAACGGTGTGTATGTGTAGTAGATGTTGGTGGGCTGGTAGAACCCCAGAGCAGTATCAAAACTGCCCCTGGAGGAGACTCCCTCTGTTAATGGGAGACTCCCTGGTAATTAGGGCAGCTTCAGAACCCACAGTCCCTAACCCCACCCTCTCTTGATCCCCAAATATATCAATCAAAACAATGTATGTTTTCTGAGGCCCAGGGCTTGGGCCTCAGAAAACTTCCCCCAAGAAGCCTCCAAGCTCTCAAGACCTCCAAGCTCCCCAAGCTCTCTCATTTCTTCTTCTCCATTCTTCTTTATAGTCTTCTTCCTCCTCCCTCTCTTCATCATGGGTCATCCCCCTTTCTCTCTTTGAGTGAGAAGGAGGTCACAACTCAACTTTTAATCATTAAACATTAAAAAATGTAAGGGTTACAAATTAAACAAATACAAACTTATAGTAATGATATGTAATTTTAAAGAGAGGGAATATGAAAATGTTCATGAAAGCAGAACACATTGTCAATATCATGACTTTAGAATCAACATTTCAATTTCAAATATGCAAACTTTAATTTATTAACAGAGACAAATATGGGCAGCTTGTCTCTACGATTCGCTGGCCCAGGAAGTTGATTTGAATCTGTGCGTAGGTCGCCTGCATCCTGTGCTTCATTGTCTTCATACCCGCTGTCACCGCTCTCAAGGTGTCAAAAACCACAAGCGCCTTCTCTGAATGCTAGCTGGAACTTTTACGCTTTTATTGCACCATCTAGAACAGGGATGGGCAAATGGCGGCCCCACCTCCTCTTTGTGCGGCCCTCAGATTAATTTATAAACAACGTAATTAATTTAAAAGTAGTTGTAGTAGTACTTGTAGTACTGATACTGTCCACTAGACTCCTAGTTACGTCGCGAGCTGCGTACATGATTTCAAATGCCGCGAAATAATCTGACGCATTTGTGTGTATTGTGTTTGTTTCCCGGGGCAACCCTCACAAGAAACACCGGCTGTTGTTATGCCTGCTGTGACGTTAAGTTGCCTCTTGTAATTATGCCTTTACAAGCTTACAAGTTGTATTTATCATCTGAATTTGGCGAAACAAGTTTAATATTCTTAAAACCAAGACTTTGTTTATTTGAAATCAGATGAAAACAAACTGTCACAGACCCTGCCGTGTTATCTATGATTACTACGCTTTTCATTCATAATTTCAGCGGGAGGGGGGGGAGCTGCGCTGAGGAACAGCAGAGTGCGGGCTAACAGGTGTCTGTGTTGACATTCCCCTTATTGTGGAACAAGGGGAATGCAGAGACTGGCTACAAGTGCTTTAGGTTCAAGTTAGACAACTAATGTCTGGGTTAGTGTTCATGACTTCATGTTTATGTCATCTTAATGGTTAATCTCAATGCACACACATTTTCCGTGCTTTCCAATAGTTTAAAATAGTTTTATTCCACTGTTTAATAACCTGTTCAATACAAACATGCCACTTGTAAAAATGAAATAACATTTCTCTGAACTGATATTTGTTTAGTGAGCTTATTAGAGGATGTTCCCTGAAAGATTGTAAAATGTCAATGAAGATGTCAGACTTAGTATATTTGTTAATAATTACATACAACACATGGAATTTGTGTGTGTGTGTGTTCCAAGTGAACCTGCGGCCCCCTGGTGGCCAGTACATCAATGATGTTGCCCCACCACCATCAAAGTTGCCCATCCCTGATCTAGAATGTGTGTGTGTGTGTAGGTCAAAAGTTCAGAATGTTCTATCTAGTTTCACATGCCTGGTTTCATATGCCTGAAACCACAAGAAGGAAACATACATCCTTTCCATTCACAGCCAATTTAGCATCTCTTTATCAATGGTAAGCTTAATAGAGGTAGGTGAGGCAAAGGTCAGGTCTGACACGGCCACTTACACAGCACAACTGTCAACAAGACAATAGAGACCGTTTTGTTAAGTTTGTTTCTGTTAATAAATTAAATGTGCATATTTTAAATTGAAGTTAAAATAAATCTTAATTCTAAACATGACATTGAAATGTGTTTTTTGCTTTCATAAAAATGTTCATATTCGCTTTTCTTAAAATTGCATATCATTACTATAGTCTTCATTTGATTAATTTTTACTAAGATTAAAACCCTTTCATGCATGAATTATGAAAGCCTCACTCAGGATTTTTTTTACCAAGTGTTCTTATTGCTCTTGGGGCATGAAAAACAAGATATTAACTTTAGTTTATTTTTATCTAGTTTTTTCAAATTTAGAAAACCTGAGGCCAAAAGAAATGTTTTATATGTCCACAGACATGTCTAAACTGAAAACTTGTACATTTGGAAAAAATGATAAATAAAGATTTGCAAACTTAAAATTACATTATAATAACTTAAGTATATTGATTTAAGGCCCAAAAAGATATTGCTAATGAAGTATTTTCAAGAAGAGCAGTAACAGTATGAATTGTAGCCAGTGATGCATGACGTCCACTTTAGTGGACAGGCGAATAATCATGATTTCCTGCAAACATAAAATCAATACTTTGACAATTTATGAATTATAAAATTCCTTAGTTGTTACTTGATGTCACCAAATGTGTTATACCTGCAGCGAGCGCTTTCCATGAAAGGGTTTGCAGGATATCGGCAGGTGACTTGGTCCATCTGGCTTTCTGTCATTCATCTTGGTTTATAGCAGGGGTGGGGAACCTTTTTCCTCTCAAGGGCCATTTCAATGTTTTCAACATCCTCCGAGGGCCGTACAATTTATTGACCTCTGCTTAAAAATACTAAAATCACAGCCCACTCATTTCACCTTTCTTTCATTATGTGCAAAGAAAAAGCAACCTCTTAATCCAGATATCTTGCCATGACTGATTCACGCATGCATGCATGTGCACGGTTGTGGCATGACTACCCAAACAGAAAGATATGGACACAAGATGTGTGCAAATGTATTTAGACTCCTATCCATGTGAACATGATTTAAGTGGGGGGGGGACCTAACCTCCTCTAGGGGGGTCTGGGGGGCATGCTCCCCCGGCAAGATTTTTTTTTAAATGTTGAAGTTAAAAGCATCAATCTAGTGCACTTTGAGAGCAACATTAGATCGATGGATACATCTCTCAACACCCATTTGAAACAGAACTGTAAGCAGATTTTCTTTTTCTTTATGGATATTTTACAAATCACTCTCCTTTCAAACTGCATTCTTGATTATTAATAACAACTTTTTTTTACTGTCATATATTTGATACCTGTTTACTTTATTCTCTTATTTTTTTATAACTATAATGATCATATAAAGATGTGCCTTTACCTCACTTCTTATATTCGTTAGCATAGCTAGCTAACCAGATGCTAATAACAACAAAGTTATTGACTGGATGATCAGAATGACAGATCGCCACTGGGCTTACAACTAGACACAGCCACGCAAAAACTGCAGCATGTGTAGGGCTCCTTATGGGTACTGCAATTTTTGGAACTGCCGGAGCAGAGCGGCGTTCTGGTGCTCCCCACCAGAACTACACCCCTGACGGACGGACGAGACATATACCACGTGATGACACGTTAGGCTTGTGTTGTATTCAAGGACCCTGATCTTGGCCAGGAAAAACAGGCACTCGCTTGTTTATTTATTTTGCGGTCTAGATTTCTTTAATTTTTTTCTTTTTTGTGTGTGTTTATAAATTACCTTGAGGGCCACACCAAATGCTCTCGCGGGCCGTATACGGCCCGGGGGCCGGAGGTTCCCCACCCCTGGTTTAGAGACATGTATCATGCACTTGCACTGACTTTCCACTGAGTGGCAGTGTATGGGATGATGCAATAGGGTCCTATGTAGTGGCTGATGGTGCAACTATGGCATCAAAACCTATGCATATACAATAAAACACCTTTTGAAAAGCTGTCCACTGTAGTAGTCTATACGTGAAAGGTGGGGTAGGTAAGTTTGAGAAACCGGCTCGAGAAACACTTTTTATTAAGTAAGTGCTTTGACAAAAAATCCATGAAAAAAAAGTCATCTGTGGAAGCCGTAATACTGTAAAAAGCACGAACAATCATTTTAGCCGGCCCGGCTAAAATAACTGGATGGCCTACCTGCCTGTCAGCCTTCCATCTGTGCAAAAACGTATCTCGTGAGTGATGTGATCCACTCTTTTAGTGTTTGTGAGGACTCGAGCAGCAGCGTTCTGAATCAGCTGCAGCTTTCTGATGGATTTTTTTTTTAGTGAAGTAAAAGTACAAAGTAGCATTAAATGGAAATGGTGTTGAAAGACCTGCTGTTCAGACCTCACTTTGTCTGGAAACCACCTGAGGCCTGTACTACGAAGCCGGATTTTCGCATAGCGGGCTAACTTCAGGGAAAACTCTGGGTTTCCGGTCCTACGACACTGGTTCTCTTTTTAGCGGACTAGATCTCCATGGTAACTTATGCTGAGCGGCTAGCCTGGTCCGGAGCAGGTTAGGTTGCATTAAGTACAGTCCGCGGCATTGAGTGCAGACGTCGATGTGTCCCATTATCATTCATATCACATCATAATGTATCATATATTTCCTTATCTGAGTCAGCTTAGCCGTATCTGGCCGTGCAACACTCACAGTGTCACATACTGTATGCAGAAGTATTATTTTAAGCAACACATTAAGTTGACGAAACACTCGAGTCAAATGTAATTAAAGTCAAATCCACTCGTGTCTTAGTCTCGTGGCAGTGATATCATAAAACCTGTTAATGTACGCATTCAAATACTTTTTCTATTACCAGCTGTATTCACCTTGCAGGTGCAGCTATGTGGCTTTTATCCTGGATAAAGTTTATAAGTCATGGATGTTTAAAGTTTAACGTCTTCATATTTGTCTAAAATTATAGTTGACTTTTCATTCAGGAAGTATGACGCTGCGCTGTCAGTACGCTTCTCCATGTTTGTGATTGGTCGAATGCTCCAGATTCCACCCCTTCCATGTGAACGTGCACCTAACTAGATGGGACACGGCTGGCTTGAGCGATCCACTTGATAACCCGCGTCGTAGGACCGTTTAGTGAGAGTGCGTATGTTTTGGATTAGGCCAACCGGCTAACTCAATCATATCCAAGTTATGTTGAACCGGCTTCGTCGTAAAGGCCTCTGATGCAGAGAGGGAGGAGGGAAGAGACTATAAAAGATGAGTGAAGAGAAACGGGGGAGCTTGGGGGGACTTTTTTGAGGCTTCATTTTGAGTCTTGGGCCCTGGGCTTGGGCTCTATTAGGGCTCTAGGGGGTTTACTTGGGAACCTGTTGCTTTTGTACTTTGACCTTGTAAAACTTTTGTTATTTTTTGGATCTTGTAAATCCTCTATATTTGTTAAAAACCTAACATTTCGACCCAATTCCTGGTCTCTCTGGTGGTCTCTGAAGGTATCTGCTTGGTCTTAGAGTAAGGTAAGAACACCCTTCCTTGGAAAAGGCTGACAGTAGTTGATAATTTGGACTTGAAATTGTTTAAGGGAAAATAGAAACCCTGCTAAGGTTAAACTGTAGTTTCATTTTGGTTACTGTGGTTTTCATTGATGCTGAAATATGACATGTGCTCTGCTGATGTGGTAATATCACTGCTGTGATATCAGTGTTTGACTCTGGCTATGTTTGATTTTACGTTTGCATTGTTTGAATTGGTATAACTGGGGATCAAAGGAGGGGGTTAGGGATTGTGGGTCCTGAAGCGGCCCTAATTACCAGGGAGTCTCCCAACGACACAGGGTTTCTCCTCCAGTGGCAGTTTAGATACTGCTCTGGGTTCTACCAGCCCAACAACACCTACTGCACTACGCACTCCGTTTTGCGATCCTGGCGGTCGGACATCCAACACTTTAGTGCCTGAAATAAGTGATACGACGAGCAGCTGGTGTTAGAGGCCACGCTGTTTAGGCGTGTCACGATAATTAATTTTGTTGGACTATACATTTTCCCGGAAACTATTACGATAAACGATAATATTGCACCGTTGTAAGACCATTTTAGACCACTGACATAATGATAATATATAATAATAATTAAAGTACATCCTTTCAAACAGAACTTTTTATTGAACATTCAACATTGCACATGAAATGTGAAATAATATTCAAAAATATAAATTATAAAACATGTATTAAATCCCACACAACTAAAACAATAAATTAAATAGACTCAGGCTGGAAAACAGAGCTCTCCCTATGGGCTTCAATTAGTCTCATAAGTATTTATGTGAACATAAAAATAATTTGTGTGTATTTATGTGATTTGTAAATGTAAAACACCATCCACAAATGCATTTAAAAGATTTGCAAACTCACTAATAAATGTGCAAATGTAAAACGGATCTGCAAATACGCAAAATATTTTCACAACAGTCCACTGTACATACAAAAACCAAGATGCCTCAACAGGCCATATCCAAATCTGTATTTCAAAGATTTCGAGCAAGGAACACAAACATGTTTGCATTGTCGGGCAAATGCATCTTTGATTGTAAACTGTCGGGAAGGTGGGGGCTCCATCTCCAGCTGCCGTGTTTGCTCCCAGCTGGGAAAACAGAATGGGGTGGTTGTGTTTAAGGTTGGTCGTATTGCTAGCTTTTGTTGCTATACCTTTTTTACAGAAATGCGACATACCGGCGGCTCAATCAAGTCCGTAGGTTCGCCTCGTTCATTTGGCTTAAATCCAAAATATTCCCACACCGGAGATGTAGAATTGGGTTTCGCAACCAATTCCATTTAACTTCAAATTCCCCTCGAGTAAGTCATATGTTGGCTCCTACTTGTCTGTATATTATTAATTTTACTGTTGCACATTGGAGTGTCCTGACCTGGCTGTGTGTGAGCCCTGCCCCTCACAGCGCGCCTGGCCGGCAGACACAGCGCGCCTGACTAAAATGCTGGTCACATCCTTATGTAAACAAACACACATGTAAATGGCAATTTATCGACGTCAGAAAAGTTATCGAGTTCATTTGTATTTATCGTACGATAAGTCAATTAATTGTTTATCACGACAGGCCTAACGCTGTTCGTTATTCGGATATTCTTTTTTCTTTCTTTTTGGCAGCCGTGCTGCTCTGCGGCTGCCAAATTCAATTGATTGACATCTCCAATATCAACGTAAGAGCTTTTGCCTCTTTGGGGGGTGCTAACACTTAACCATAAACTTTATAGTTTACTTTCTCCGTCTTCATATGTAGATATAACTTTTCTTCATTAATCTCCGCTCCTTTTCTCCGTCACGTTGTTTCCATAGCAACAACCACTTCCTGTCAGCGCTAACTCTCCTTCAAAAATCAAAGCATGTCCATACAAAATAGGAAGCCGAACCAAATTACACTTAAGACATATACAACTGCAACAAAAGCAACAAACACAATGCAATATCCTTTTCAATTTTAAAGAACACAAATTGGGTTATTTACATTAAGAAATAACCACAAAACAACAATGCAAAACAACTAATATTCGGCGCGCGCGCGTACATGCCCTACTGTTAGCTGCCCCCCTAAACAGATTACGGTAATCTTGCACTTAGATTCTGGGGGTTAAGTCCTAAAGGTAGGACGGCCGTTTTCCGGAGCCTTATCACCATCGGAGCTCGGTATCGGAGACGACCAAGATATTAACGTTGGTTTTATCAAAGTTAGATTCCTTTTCAATACTAAATTACAAGTACCTCTAAATAGTACTTGAGTACAGTACTTGAGTAAATCACCTAGTTACTTCTCGCCTCTGCTATTAACCTAAGAAGTGGCTGTAGATTTATTTTGTTGTGTCTATCAGTTGTATTGAGTTAACTTGTGTTGTTTCAGCTGTAGTTGTGTTGTTTATTTCAGAGTCACAGCCGGAGAAGGAGCACTGAGAGCAGCATGGAGGAGAACAAAAAGACCACTGGAGCTCAGGTCAGTGTGCACTTCATCACAATATATTCCTAACACTGTTATCCCGAAATGAAAGATCACAACCTGTTTAGAAAATACAATATTAATGCACAATATGGTTAGATATAGGTTAGAACGTTGCTGTGTTTTTAAACATTTATTTATAGATTAAAAGTAGAAGTACTCATTACATTGCATTTAGCTGACACTTTTATCCAATTCGACTTACAATAAGTGCATTCGACCAACAAGATATAAACTTGAAGAAAACAGAATCATATAAGTACATCAGGTTTCATAGAGCCAACACATTTCAAGTGCTACTCAACTGGCTTTAGGTAAGCCAGTCCTTTATTAGTATATAAGTGCTTTGTTAGTAATTCTATCGCTCGAAGTGGAGTTGTGGAGTTTTCAGTCTGCGCCGGAAGGTGTGTAAGCTTTCTGCTGTCCTGATGTCAATGGGGAGCTCATTCCACCATTTTGGCGCCAGGATAGCAAACCCATGTGTTTTTGCAGATGGGAACTTGGGTCCCCTTCGCAGTGAGGGTGCAGCGAGCCGTTTGGCCGATGCAGAGCGGAGTGCACGTGCTGGGGTGTACAGTTTAACCATGTCCTGGATGTAGGAAGGGCCAGATCCATTCGCAGCATGGTACGCAAGTACCAGTGTCTCAGTGTCTTGAAGTGGATTCTAGCAGTTACCGGAAGCCAGTGAAGGGAGCGGAGGAGCGGTGTGGTGTGGGAGAATTTAGGAAGGTTGAAGACCAGACGAGCCGCTGCATTCTGGATGAGCTGCAGCGGTTGGATGGCACATTCAGGTAGACCAGCCAGGAGGAAGTTGCAGTAGTCTAGGCGTGAGATGACGAGAGCCTGGACCAGAAGTTGTCGCTTTCTGGGTCAGGGGGGGACGTATCCTCCTGATGTTGTAAAGCTTGTATCTGCAGCAGCGGGTTGTAGCAGCTATGTTTGCAGTGAAGGACAGGTTGTTATCTAGGGTCACACCCAGATTCCTTGCAGTCTGAGTCGGGGAAACAACAGAGGGGCCGATGTTGATTGTTAGGTCAAGAGTGGGACAATCTTTTCCCGGAAGAAAAAGCAGTTCAGACTTGTCAAGGTTGAGCTTGAGGTGGTGAGCCGACATCCACAGAGAGATGTCTGCTAGACAAGCAGAGATGCGTGCGACGACCTGGGTTTCGGAACGGGGAAAAGACAGAATTAATTGGGTGTCGTCAGCGACGTAGCAGTGGTATGAAAAACCATGCGGGCTAATGACCGATCCGAGCGAGTTTACAGAGAGTTTACAGAGAGAAGACATAGCTGTAGATTTGTTTTGTTGTGTCTGTCAGTTGTATTGAGTTAACTTGTGTTGTTTCAGCTGTAGTTGTGTTGTTTATTTCAGAGTCACAGCCGGAGAAGGAGCACTGAGAGCAGCATGGAGGAGAACAAAAAGACCACTGGAGCTCAGGTCAGTGTGCACTTCCTCACAATATATTCCTAACACTGTTATCCCCAAATGAAAGATCACAACCTGTTCAGAAAATACAATATTAATGAACAATATGGTTGGATATAGGTTATGTTACAACCCGGCTCCTGGGCTGCAACAAAAAGCAGGGAGGCGAGACGGCACCCCACGTGGTGTGGAGGGGTCGTCACAGTTAGGACATTACTACTTAGTAATGTTCTAACATTTATCACATTATGCAAACACAACCGAACATTCCCCAACATTAGACATATGGCAGATACAAAATAATGGACATTTAAAAAAAAAAATGTGCAGATACTAGAATCATCAATCAGTTTAAAGTACAGACCAAGAATATAATTACATTAGCAAATTCAACAAAAATACAATAAAAGCACATCCACAAACAGAGCAGAGTACAGCTTACAATTCTCCAAATATATTAACCAAATTCAAAATGTCCTCAGTAGTAGTAGTAGTTTAGTCATTTCACTTTAACCTTCCATCACTTCTGCAATGTCCCCACTTTTTTATAAATTCCAAAAATAATTCCCAAATGGTGTAACATTCCGAAGCTTTCTTCCTTAGTATATATGTGAGTTTCTCAAGAGCCAGACTCAAATTTAAAGTGTTTAACCTGAGGCCCAGGGAGGGGCAACCAACATTTTTCCAACACAAAGCAATTGAGCGCCTGGCTTGTAGAAGGCATTGGTTAACCATTTTTCTTCCCCTAACCGATAGTGAACAGTCTTCTGGATAAATGCTTAAAATACAAAGTTTAGGGCTTAAAGGGGTTCGCAACGAGGTTATTTGGGAAATGTATCTTCTCACCGAAGTCCAAAATCTTTTAACCTCTACAGTGTTTCCCCTAGGTGTACTGCCTTGGCAGGGTGCTGCTTGGGTACCCCCCCCAAAAACAATTTGGGCAGCGCCCCGCCAAGACAATGGTAGGGGAAACACTGCTCTACACAATCCCTCAAGCGATCATACCTTGATGGATCTTGCATTTATAACATAGATCAGGAATGTTAGGGTTAAACTGGTTAAACATCACAAGGGTGATGTAAGTTCTCATTATCCAATTATATTGTATTAATCTAAGACGTGTATTAATAGTGTGCCTTTGAACAAATTGTACCCCAATCATCCTCTGAAATATCCTTTAATACGTCTTTTACTTTCTGAGTTGTCTTTATGGTTTGCAACCATTATGTTATAAAATTGAGTAACCAGTCCTTTGCTGTTACAGTTTTTATAGTCAGTATCTCTACTGTGGACGTAGGAGGTTGTTGCAACAAGTTGTTTAAAGGGGGCATATCATGCTATATTTGAACAATATATTGTAGGGCCATACCTATATAAAGTATATAAATATATATTTTTTTCTTCAAAATACCAAACCGATCCTGCATTTTAGCCATGCCTCATTTCGCTCTATTTGCTCTTTCCAGCACTGCTATTGCAGGGGGCTGATTCTGTGACGTAGCTTTAATGCAAATGAGCTGCAGCTGACCACGCCCCCCTGCAGGAGAGGGGGTGCTTTGAGATCAGCTGCTGGGCTGTCAGAAGAGGGGGAGAAAAAGAGATCTCCGTCCTCCGTGTTTTATTCTTATATATTATTATATAGAGTCGTTATTTATTTGTTTTAAAGCTCAATAAATAACAAAGAAGACCTTTGATGGGCACTTTTCTAATTTTGTCCGGAAGATTTGAACTTTAACGGACATGTTGACCGGCGAAAAAATATCTAACTGAAACTCTGCCGCACGGTCTCCTCGTTCCTTGGAAGAGGCGGAGAGGTGGGTGTTTGTCATCTGCTGGTGGACTACCGGAGAGAATTACAGTGCTTGCCTCGACGGGGAGGGATTGCATTGAATTACAGCAGCGGGAGCAAACGCTTGCCTCGGGGAGGGAGAAAAAGAGCCACAGCGGAGAATAAACAGAAGGGTGACCATGGCAACCATGCAAGGGAAGTCTTCTTCGCTGCTTTTGTGGCATACTACAGCGCCACTTACAGGCCTGGCATATGTACTACAGCGTCTCCAATGCTTTCGAGCGGCAATGGCCGGCCGTGGCCCAACCCCACATTCCCCTGATAGGTGGAGAATTGACCACTAAGCGGAGCTCCACTTTTGTGACGTAGAAAATAATTAAAATCTGTATCAGTCTGTATCAGATCCATTGCAGCCCCATTTTTTGAGATTTGGGTATGGAGGAAAAGAGAGGGTTGTGTTCTCTGACACTTGGTGAGATCCCTGGAACACCAGGGACATATATTCATGTGTTAAAGAAGTACAAAAGTGCATTTTGCATGATAGGTCCCCTTTAAGTTTGCCAATATAAAACTCCTAACTTGCAGGTACTTGAAAAAGTGTTTCTGTGGCACGACATACTTTGTTTTCAGCTCGTCAAACGACATTATGTTGCCGTCCTCATATGAATCCAGTGGCCTTACAATACCCTTACTTAATCATGTTGGGAAGCCCATGTCATTTTGACCCGGGCTGAAGAGTTCATTGCCCCAAATAGGTGAGAAACAAGACAACATTGGGGAGTCGCCTATATATTTATGTGCTTCATGCCAGACAAACTTTTTATTTTTCACAAAGGGATTCATTGTTTTTTTCCTTAGATTTTTAGAAGGAGCAGAATATAGAAAGATATCCAGCATCAAACCCTTTGAAGACAACAACTCAACTCGTAACCACGGCAAATCAACTCCTCTGAAAAACTAAAACATTGTAGCCCTCAATTGTGCCGCCCAGTAGTACTACTGAAAATCTGGTAGTTGTAACCCTCCCCTATCGTAAGATAAATACAACAGAGAGAGTCTAAGTCTCGGCTTCCTGTTATTCCAAATACATTTAGAAAGTCGCTTTCTTATTTTAGAAAACAATGGAGGAGAAGGTGCTAGTGGGATAGATTGAAAAAGATATAGACATTTTGGCAATATACTCATCTTAATTATATTAATTATTTCCACTAAGGACAAGGCAATGTTGTCCACCTAGTGGAATCTTCTGACGCATAGGCTAACAAGGGTTCGTAATTAGATGCACTGAGAATGTCTATCTTTGGTGTAAATGTAATACCCAGATAAGCAAAACCGTCTATGGCAGGGGTATTCAACTAAAATTCAACGAGGTCCAGTTGGAGAAAATCTCCCCACGCAAAGGTCCGGAACATCAAAATGTCTAACTTGCTTTATGAATTAGTGTGATATATATATATATTGAAGTAGCCTGTAGCTTTATCAACGTCTGCATGTAATCAACAACTGACTGCCAATCAAATAAAGAAAGTACAATTTAAAAAAAAAAACAACAATATTTATTGTCAATTAACATTGAACTCTACAGATATACAGTAAATATTGTGGATATGTGTAATGTTCCTCTCGGGCTGCATTTAAAAATAAATAAATAGAGAAAATAAATAAAATAGCTTTTAAAAATATGTGCATCTTAAAAGTGCTTAATCTTAGATAAATAAAATAAAGTTTAGCAGCAGCTTCAGTTTCCCTTTTTCTTTGTTAACCGTTTCACATCATGACTTAACAGTTTCAGCCGATTATAGAACAATGTCAGTCTTTACACATCATAACAATTAAACAGTTTAAAGTTTCTCTTTCTTTCCCTCTTATATTGCAGTCCATCACTCACTTTTTTTTAAATTCAGTGCGAGAATTGAGCTCGAGGTTGTCCTGCCAGGAGTTTGTAAATCTGGGCTAAAATTGTGTTAGCAGGTGCTCATTGGTTAGCCTCGGTTAGCCTGCCCTGGAACGATATTTAGTTTTAATTTTGATCCTGGTGGACTAATCATATTGTGCTCTGAGACTGCTTATTTTTTTGTGACCTCAGTTCTGACTTGAGAGGGAATGTTTAGTCAAACACTTTGTGTTTTGTCTCAGAGTGGCGTTTTGGCACTTTTAATGAGCGCCACAGTCTCTGAACAAATGAGACACACTGGTTCTGTGCTCCCAGTGGGCAGGATGAACATGAATGAGTCCGTCCACTCGGGGTTAAAAGCTTTGTTCTCACTGTCCACTTTCCTCTTCTTGGAGAGCTCCATGTGTAATTATGTGTCTCTCCCCGTCTGCCGCTAACACGCCTGTTCACACTCCTCTCCGCTTTTCTCCCTGTATCGCTAATTATTCTCTTCACTCACTTTCCTCTCCGCTTCTCTCTGCCGCGCTCTCGTCTCTTCTTCTGTGTTTCTCTCCCTGTATCGCTCACTCGTCTCTTTCGCCCCCTGTCGGCAGCGGTTAAAATGGAATCGCCCCGTCAAAATTGAAATCCGCTATTAATGTATTGATTATAGGTCCGGTTCCGTATAGGTCGGCGTCCGGATCCGGACCGCGGTCCGCCTGTTGCCGACCCCTGGTCTATGGCATTTACAAATGGGAAAGATAATTTTGGATTTCTTCCCTCCTGTTCATTGAGAAACATAATAGAGGATTTATCTTTGTTCACCTTAAAACCAGAGCATTTACCAAATTGATTGCTTACTTTTAAGAGCGATTTTGCAAGACCTGATCAAAATACTATGGCATCATCTGCATACAATGCTCTAGGTGTCCTGTCTTAATACCATATATCAAAGGGCGTGATTGTATGGCTATTGCCAACAGCTCCATATAATAGCTATCACAAAAAGTAGAGGCAAAATATGAGAGCCTTATCTCGTGCCGTGAAAGAGTATAAATGGTTGTGAAATACAATTATTGGTTAATACTACTGCGGACGAATAAAAAAATATAATTTTAATCCATTTAAGAAAGTAGTCATCAAGACCAAAGCGCTTTGATTTTTAACAAAGCCGTTTTGATCTGCGTGTATCATCTGTGGCAGGAACCTTTCCAGTCCCATAGCCAAGGCTTTAGCAATGATCTTTGCGTCAGAGTTAAAAAATGGAATTGGTCTGTTATACCTCATTCACACCAACAGTGTTTCAGGGCCAGTTCGGAGCTGGAGCTTGAAAAGCACTTGGTTTTCCTGTTCACACCGCAGCGGAGCAGCCTCTTAGATCCGGAATCCGGTTCGTTTTAAGCACCAAAAAATGGTCCGGCTAGAGCAAAAGCACCGCATACGTCACGCTTACGTCGAGGCGGGGGTAGGGAAGGGATCAACTCCTGAACAACAACAAAAAGCCCGCTTTTTATCCAGTTTGTACACAACGATGCAGCATGTAACGACTGTAAAGTTGGTAGTAAAGTCGTCCCATTTTTTCCATTTCGTTTCGACAGACCAAAACGAGTAGCACTTCAACACAATCGGCCATTCTTGTTGTTGTCGGTGTGAGCTGTGAGGGGTTTCCGCGCGGTTTGGCTTTATGAAGCAGGCACGCAAACGGTTACGTCATGATGCAAAGGTTGACGCAATGACGCAGCACCAGTCGGACTCTGGGCGGTGTGAAAAGAGCCGGAGCTAAACCGAAGAACCGGTTCTGAACCTGAAAAGCTCTAGGACGGAGCTTGAAACGGAGTTGCGTTGGTGTGAATGAGGTATGAGAGCCACATTCGGATGATGATTTACCTGGCTTTAAAAATAAGAGTTATTAAGGCACTTTGTAGCGAAGGGGGGAGGCTGCCCTGCTCGAATGATTCCATGCATACATGTATAACAATGGGGCTATCCATTTTGCATTGAAAAATGTATACATGTAAATTGGGATCCCGTCAGGTCCTGAGGCCTTACCACCTTTCATGTTAAGAATGGCATTGGAAATATCTTCAAAGTTCAGTTCCCTATTCATTGCGAGTTTTGTTTCTACGGAAATATTGGGAAAAGACAGCCCATCTTGGAAAGTGTTTTGACTTACCGAATTCAATGGATAATCAGATTGATAAAGCCTCTTATAGAACGAAACAAAGGCCTGATTAATTTCCAATGGATCTTTAGTTATTAACGTAATGTAGCTTTCGGTTTGGGCAAACTGCGTGCGCATCACTCTCAATCCTCAATGGTAATGTTTAGGTGGATTTTAGGAACCTCCCCTCAGTTATATTGGCTCTAACGGGTAAAAAGAGGTTTCAATCACCAAAATTGACCGAAGGGCTCCAGAGATACGGCAAATACACCGAAGTGTTTTAAAAAAAAAATCTAAACCTCTCTAAAAAGGTCAAATTTAACTTGTTTTGCATCAATCTTGATACAGGGTACTTATTATATTTTATAGTTTTGATTGCTAACGCTTTTAGTCTACTACCCCATAATTCAAGGGTGGTTTTCACTATAAGTAATGTATTTATTTTGATGGAAACTATAATTTAATTTTTTTTTACTATGTTAAATCTGAATTTACTTTAAAAATAAAATCTATATCGATTCTGACACTTCTACATCCAAGGTGTATCATTGCTTTGAGAAAAAAGATTATTAATGTACCCCTTTTTAGAAGTGAAGATATAGTCATTTGTTCTGGGCCTGAGGCCTGAAAAACAGGCTCAGGGCTTAACAGGTTAAACAAATAGCTCTACATCCCTGGCCGAAATGTCCCTTAAATGGAGTTCGAAATATATTTCAAATAATGTATGCACTGCCATTTCCCCACATACACATAACAGTCTGCAATGAAATGGTTGTCTCCTGTGCGAACAAGATGCTTTCTCTCTCATTTATTCATTGCCCTTTTAGGGGCTTCGTACAATACAAATGCAAATATTTTATCCTTTCGAGTCATCTGTCTCAAGCCTAAGTCAAGTCTGAAGTCATGAATACCAAGTCAAAGTCGAGTCTTTTATCAATGTTAGTCAAGCAAGCCTCAAGTAAAAAAACGTGACTCGAATCCCCCACCTCTGTTATATACTGTTAGAATGTTGCTGTATTACTGTATCAAATATAATACAAATATAATAAACATAAACAGTTAGTAAAAGTAGTATTATTTTTTTTTTTTTTAACTGAAAGTTTGTATTAAGGGAGTTTTTATTGTGTTAACTGTATATGTATCTATGTTTTTTAGATTTACTTTCTCTCTTTCTCTGTCCGTCTGCTTTAGAAACCGAAAGGAAGAGAGCGATGTCACAGCTGTCAGCAATGTGATGAATCCTTTACAACATCTGGAAATTTAAAACGCCACCTGCTTACTCATACTGGAAAAAAACCGTACAGCTGTGAAGAGTGTTGCAAAACGTTCACAAGATCAGGTTCTCTCATAACCCATCAACGTATTCACACAGGAGAGAAACCGTACAGCTGTGAAGAGTGTGGGAAAACGTTCACTACATCAGGTCAACTCAAAACACATCAGCTTGGTCACACTGGAGAAAAACCATACAGCTGTGAAATGTGTGGGCAAACATTCTCAACATCTTATTATCTTAAATCACATCACCGTAGTCACACGGGAGAGAAACCGCACAGCTGTGAAGAGTGTTACAAAACGTTTGCGACATCAGGTTCTCTCATAATCCATCAACGTATTCACACAGGAGAGAAACCGTACAGCTGTGAAGAGTGTGGGCAAACGTTCACTACATCAGGTCCTTTCATATCACATAAACGTATTCACACTGGAGAAAACCCGTACAGCTGTGAAGAGTGTGGGCTATCATTCACTCAATCAGGTCATCTCAAAACCCATCAACGTATTCACACAGGAGAGAAACCCTACAGCTGTGAAGAGTGTGGGAAAACGTTCACTCAATCAGGTTCTCTCAAAATACATCAACGTATTCACACTGGAGAAAAACCGTACAGCTGTGAAGAGTGTGGGAAAACGTTCACTCAATCAGGTGCTCTCAAAACACATCAACATGTTCACACTGGAGAGATACCGTACTGGTGTGAAGAGATGCTGTTTTCTCCCTAACCCAGTGGTTCTCAAACTTTTTCTGTCAGGACCCCCTTTGGAGAAAAAAAAAAGTCGGGCCCCCCCTCCACAAATAGTGGGCCAAGTTAACATTTATTAAAATACATCAATATTAACGTGAGCATTCCCTTATCACTTTGTTAGAACAGTGATAATAAAACAATTCTCCAGAAGTCTGTGTGCTCAAAAATAAATACATAATATAATTGTGCAATCCCTTTGCTAGAACAATAAGTTATAATACTTTGCCACTTTGCAATCTGTACAAAAAAATGTAAATAAAGAAAATGCCGATATTTGGCAGAAATTTGTGTTTTGCACAGGACATTTCAAAACGGGTTTGTAGGCTCAGTGGTGGCGCCAGAGATTTTCTTTTGGGGGTGCTGTGGGGTAGCTTGACGTTTCATAGAGGGTGCTCAAACATTTAGGGTTTCCCATTAATGTACCGGTCGCTACAGTTGAATTTTGTACTGCAACACTCCCCACGCACATACCAGTGTATCCGCGACAGTTGAAATTAAGCTCAATAATCAACTCACGGCATATCAGGGCAGGGGTAAAGTGCTATTTTTATAAGTGGGAGTTAAATGCCTCAATCTGGTGCACTTTGAGAGCAAAATTAAGAGAGCTATGGATACATCTCTCAACACCCTTATGAAACAGAACTGTAAGCAGATTTTCTTTTTCTTTATGGATATTTTACAAATCACTCCCCTTTTAAACTGTATTCTTGTTTTACTATCATATAGTATTTCATAACTGTTTTTCATTTATTCTCTTATTTTTGTCTACCTATAATTGTGTGCCTCGGAAATAATTGTTTACATTAATTGCGACCAAACCGTTTGAGACCCACTGAGATAACTAATCTCAGTGAGTAATCTAAACACTGAGTCCTTCACCTAACTGAGCTGAAGTTATCTGAGCCTCTCAGTCGGACAGGCGAGAGTTTTTCCACCTTGTTGTTGAAAAAGTTCCTTATATCCGTTAGCGTAGCTAGCACGCGCCAGATGCTAACAACAACAATCTCCGGTACCGGTGCACACTCTCGCACGCACAAAAAATTTCTCGTTCCAACACACACAGAGCCGAGCTTGAATAAATCAGAGACCCAGATGTTCTTGTACTGTACTGTAGAATATTATTTTTTAATCAATACATTTTCAAATTATGAATTTCACACATAACATTTTAAAATACATACATTTCTTGGGGGTGCTATGGCTATCCTAGGGTGACCTGTAGCACCCCCTAGCGCCCCCCTGACGCCGCCTATTGACCTTCCATCCTCAAAATGTACATTACACACCTGTGTCCTACAGCGCCCTCATAGCCTATGCTCCCCTATTTGGTTAATAAAATGTTGTGACTTAAACTTTGATTGGGATGTTTTGATAGTTCCTGTTGAGTTAGCAGTCTGTTCTGGTCTAAAAAAAAAAGAACCAATGATGAATATATCTAGAAAATATTCCTGATGTTTTCAGTTTGATTCTGTTCTGTTTTGTCTAAATTATCAGAATTTACCAAAAATAAAAAATGCATATTTTTTGTGTCATTCAGCACATTATAAACATGTAATTCCCTTGTTTTAGGGCTGCTGACTGCTGGATGAAATGTATCACTCAAACTGTAATTTTAATGAAAAATATACTTTTTAACTCGGTGTGAGAAAAAGTTTTTAGAGAGTACTTGTCCATGGACAAGTGAGTTTGGCAATTTACTTGTCCGAATACATTTTTCACTTGTCCAGAATGGACAAATATTTGGGGCCACTAGAATCTTCTTCTTCGCCATCGTATTTTACATTTTCCCACGGTTTTTACGACACCGCTAACGTAAGTGAGCGGTAAGATTTTACTGCATCACACATAGGGTTGGGTATCATTTGGATTTTAACGATTCCGGTTCTGCTTTTCGATTCCGGTTATTTTTGGTTCTCGATTCCGGTTCTTTGAGAGGGTAAATAAGTCCCATGACAAACTGGGAGAAAAATATATTTATGAATACATTAAGTCAAATCTGTATTCCTATTTACAAATCACTTCATACTGTTGAATTTCTTACGGTTATTGAATACAATTATATACAAAATAATCTCTGCATTGTTTAGTTAGTTCTAAGTGGTGCAGTTTGAGAATGTACAATTGGCCCAGTCTCCTCTGATGTTACACTGCAACCTGCCTGTGAGACAGAGTCCAACCACACATGTCCAACACATAGGACATAACCTAATAATAATAATACATTATATTTATAGCCTATAGGCCTAGCACTTTTCTACAACTCAAAGACGCTTGCACGCTTACACATGTCCTGAAATACACATGCAGCTGCCCAGCTGCTCACTGTTTGTAAAAGTAAATAAATAGTATTTTCATTTCAATAATGTACTTTCGATACCCTGCTTCATAAACAATACTGACATCCCTGTGCTCCTCCGATTCTGGGGGTCCGGGGATGTGAGGACAGCGCGAGGACACAGACAGGGAGGTTGCTTCACTTCATAAAGGAAATGGTGGTCAACATTAACAACACAGGAGCTAAAACGCTTAATAACCTTCATTACGTGTTAGAGAAAGAACATAAGAAAGTTTGACAAAGATGAGGCTGTTAAACGGGCAGCGGATCCGCTGTGTGTAGAAAGAGAGAGAGAGAGACGCTGAGCTGCACCGTGCAGCGATCAGCTGATACGGAGCATAGAGAGAGCTGCAGTCCGCGGGGCTCGTCCTCGCCTCCTGTCCTCACAACTCTTATTAATCCCGGTACCGGACAATTGTTATTTGTTCCTACTCGGAACCGAGTTTTGCTTCCCAACCTTGCCACTGTGCTACACTTCCCACCCCGCTCCGCCCCGCCCCCGTCTAACTGTACAGAAAGCGGCGAGATGCATTTCATTAGGAATCGACAAGCAGAACCGAAACTAACATTTCTAAACGAACAATGACGGACACGTACAATTTACGAATGAGTTCTGCCTTTTGTAAACTGAATGTATCAATAATTTGTCAATAAATCAGGCCGAAAAACGTCACTTGTCCGCCGGACAAGTCAATTGAAAGATCTACTTGTCCGATATTGTAAATAACACATCCCGGACGGTGGGACGTGTACTTTTTCGCACACTGGTGTTTGACCTGGTTTGTTCCCAGTGAAGGACTCCAGCTCACAATGAGGTAACTGTTAACCTGTTAAGCCCCAAGCCTGTTTTTCAGGTCTCAGGCTCAAAAATGACATTCCCAGAACAAATGACTATATCTTCACTCCTAAAAGGGTTAAATTAATAATCTTTTTTCTCAAAGCAATGATAAACCTTTGAGTTGGATGTAGAAAAGTATGAATCAATATAGATGTTTTTATTTTAAAGATTGAACATAGTAAAAAAGATGAAATTATAGTTTCCGTCCAAAAAAAACCCACCCTTGAATGATGGGATAGTAGACTAAAAGCTTTTATAACATATAAGTACCCTGTATCAAGACCAAACAAGTTACATTTGACCTTTTTAGAGAGGTTTAGAACAAAAGAACCACCTCTGGGGTCATTTGGGTGTATTTGCCATTTCCAACAGTGCAACACAATAAAACAGATACACAGAAAAAATAGTGCAAGTAAATACAAAAAGAAAAATAGTGAAATAGTGCAATAAGAGTCTATATACAAGTGATTGGAATATATGATATATTAGATACATAATTTCTAAGTAGCAGCCAGATGAATGTTATGGACTCCAGCTCACAATGAGGTAACTGTTAACCTGTTAAGCCCCAAGCCTGTTTTTCAGGTCTCAGGCTAAAAAATGACTATATCTTCACTTCTAAAAGGGTTAAATTAATCATCTTTTTTCTCAAAGCAATGATAAACATGTGAGTTGGATGTAGAAAAGTATGAATCAATATAGATGTTTTTATTTTAAAGATTGAACATAGTAAAAAAGATTAAATTATAGTTTCTGTCCAAAAAAAAAACATTACTTATAGTGAAAACCACCCTTGAATGATGGGATAGTAGACTAAAAGCTTTTATAGCATATAAGTACCCTGTATCAAGATTGATGCCAAACAAGTTCAATTTGACCTTTTTAGAGAGGTTTAGAACAAAATAACCACCTCTGGGGTCATTTGGGTGTATTTGCCATTTCCAACAGTGCAACACAATAAAACAGATACACAGAAAAAATAGCGCAAGTAAATACAAAAATAAAAAAGTTAAATAGTGCAATAAGAGTCTATATACAAGTGATTGGAATATATGATATATTAGATTAATCATTTCTAAGTAGCAGCCAGATGAATGTTATGGATGTTGTTTAAAAGTTCAGGTGTTTAATAGTCTTATGGCCTGTGGGACGAGACTGTCCCTGAGTCTGGTGCTTTTAGTCCGGATGCTGCGGTTACCGCATGCCAGACGACAGCAGATAGAACAGTTTGTGGCTGGGGTGATGGGGGTCTTTTATAATCCTGAGGGCTTTCTTTAAAGGTCCCATGTCATGCTTTTCCGGTAATTACCCCTCCCCTTGTGTGTTATGAAGGTTTTTATGCATGTAAATGGTATGCAGAGTCAAAAACCCTCAACGTACACCCTGTAGCGAGTAAAACTCTAACACAGAAAATACCTCCCCAAAACGCCTTGTTGGAGATTTCTCGTTTTCTTCCTGGGTATCGCTACGTAGGGATACCCAGTAGCCACGCCCAGAGCTATGGCCGCACCCTCTGCCAGCCTTTCACGAAACAAAGCTTCCCAAACCTTTCAGCGATTCATGCCGGATATGTACAGCGTCGGGCACTGAAGAACGATGCTGTTCCTACTTTGTTTGGACCAGCGGGAGATTCGGGTACACAACCTGTAAGTATTCATTGTTGTTTGTGTATTTATGATGTTTAAAACAAACAAGGTATCTACCACGACTGTTTCAATGGGTAAACGTTTTTCGGGCTACTACGTTGGGATCGCAGATAAATGCTCTCCGCAGACCCATTCTCAGTGTTATAAACCTTTTTCTTACTCAATCACAAGCCACACTTATTGTTTTTACTTCGGCTGTGAGTGTTTGTGTGCAGGGCCGTATCCACCATTGAGGTCACCAAGGTCCGGACCTCGGTAATTTTTTACGAGCTGTGTATATTACAAAACTTGTGAAATATTTGCACTAAAAGGGATTCTTTGTAGTACTTCCATTTACTGACTATGGGGGCGCTGCATAACTACGTAGCCTCGATTAAAACAAACAGAAGAAGACGACATGTATCAACAAACCACCGCAGCCCGGACTTGTTTCGGAGCAGAGGAGGAGTGATGAGGTATCTAGAGATCTGAGTCCAGAGAGCTGCTTGTGTTTCTGTTCATCAGGACATCATATGACCAGCAGATCCTGTGCACGCTCTACGTTAGTCAGTGGACGTCCGACAACATGCAAACTAACTTATATTGCAGCTATAGGCTATACTTTGATTTAAATTGCGTGAATAAACTAGCTAGAGAGTTAAAGTTAATTACATTCATCCAATGTCAGAAGGATTACCTTTTAACAAACGTTGTAATGCTTTTCTTTCATTTCAATCTGAGTAAAACATTGAAGATATAACATTGTATTGTTTTATTTTTACACTGACTCAGATATAATGAAAAGACTACGTCAGTCGAGGCTCAGCGTTGGTAAGGAAGAGACAGGACAGGCAGAGAGACAGAGAGAGAGAAATGTGATGGAAATCAGGGAGGAACTGCAGGTACAGTCACACAAAAATAATGTAGGCTTAATAACCCCATCTATCCATAACTTAGTCTTCATTTACAATATAGACAATAGGCATAATTTTAAAACAACATACATCTATTGCAGTTATGTCATAATAACATACAATTGTATAACACACAATTTGCTTACATCTTTGTTCTCTTTTGAGAATCAAACAAAACAGATTTAAATAAAATAAAATAATGCAAACAAACATTTTGTTTGTTTGTTTGCAACTAAATTGCTGAATTGCTTTTAATTCACTGGCAGGAGCGACAAGTGAGGAGGAGCAAAAAGTGAACAACAAGGGAGAGATTGAACAAAGAGAAAGAGTAGAGGACAGAGAGAGTAATGAACAGGAAGAAGACAGAGAGACTCAAGAAGATGGAAGAGAGGCTGCAGGTTATGGAAAGGAGAGAGACATGGAAAATCAATGTTGACAATGTTTTGTGATCATTTTAGCCTCTTCTGCATGTCCAGATCATTAATAGTAACATTCAACTGATTCTTATGTATTACACATTCAAAAATAATTGATGCTGCAGCCCACTGACATTGTTTGAAATCAATATATTATCCAATTTGTGACCCCCCACAGGACTTGAGCACTAGATCATGAAAATCCCAAAGATCTATACCCCAGAACCCCCCTAGCATGTTTGGACCTAGGTATTTAGGAAATCCTGGATACGGCCCTGTTTGTGTGTGCTCAGGATGAGTTTCGCTTGTTCTCCTGTATCGCCGAGACGGAAAGCCTGTCTGCTCCTGCAGCAGCTCACACAGCTGTGAGGAGCTGTGAGCAGAACAAGCCTCTCTCCGCTTCGCGACCAATCAGA